GGGCTCAGAGAGGGGGTCACCCAGACCAGACAAACAGCATGGCAGTCCCCATTCCTCCTGGGACTTGAAGATGTTCCTGGGCTCCTTAGCAAACTCTCAAATACAAGCCAAAAACTAAAGCCAAGGAGGAAAAGGACATCTTACAGCTGATGTTCTTGGTCAGCATGAAAATAAATGCTCCTGGCCTCAAAAAATCAGTCATGAGTGGCACATACAAGTACTCACACATTTTACATCATGAAAGTAACACGTGCCTTATTCAAATTGTTAGAGACGCAGCAGCCATATCTTCTACCCACTGAATTATACCTTTTTTCTTTAAAAAAAAAGAAAGAGAAGACCCAAAGACCTGACACTGCTTTTATCTGTGACATGTGCCTAAACAGGATACAAGACAACTGAGCCCAGATGCTAAAGGACAGGACTGGATACAACCTGTCCTTCTGCCATGAGGCTGAGACCCTCCACACAGGGCATGCATTGCCAGTGGAGGCATACGCTGTAACTACCCCAAGAACACCCAAGTTACTCAGGGCTTCTGCCCCCAGAGTCCCTGTGCCGGCCACCACTGGTTCCCATCGGCTCCACGCTCCCCGAGCGCAGGCACAGAGGCATCCCCAACCTCCAGACAGCACAGGGAAACGGAAACCGAACAACTCTGGTCCCGACTCAGCTCGCAGCTGGGACCTCACCGGAGACCTGAAGTCGCCGAGTCACCTGGATCTGGTGGCCCACCAAGCTGAAGCCAAGGCTGGGAAGGCCGGGCAGAGGACCGGCAGACGCACAGAAGCCCATGCGCAGGTCAGGAGCTATCGCTCTAATATCTCGCTGGACACTCAGCACCTGTCTTTTGCCCAACCGCCTATCAAGCAAGCTTAGAGATTCAGATAAGAGAAAAATGCTCTTATGAGGTCCAGACTAAAACCAAAACTTCACAAAGCCTCCACAAACCGTCGCTAAGCCACGGAATAAACTATTTACGCAGAGTTCGGCATTGTGTATGTTTCCCTGGCCGTGTTTAGTCTGGGGCCAAAGGATCTGCCCCAGATTCCAAACTGAGTGGCAGCACTCATCCCCTGGGGGGACCAGGGGCTAGGGTTCCCCAAGCCAGGACTCTTGGGGGTTCTAGCCCAAGGACAAGAAGGCTCTCTCCCACGAGGAGAGGGGGACATGACCGTCAGTAGTGACAGAGGCCTACGCCACTGCCCACACCCACGCCCCGGGGGCGGGCAAGCCTGGGCCTCTCCACCCCCCCCACACACTCCCCGCCGCCCCGTGCAGGGCCTCGCAGAGCCACTCAAGGTTCCCGGAAGTGCTGGTAGCCTCCTCACTTCAGGCACTGTGGACCCGAGGCTCTGTGCTATGACAGAACAAGTCCAGATGAGAACAGCTTCACTGCAAATGCAACACAGGCGGCCAGGGAGCACAAGCAGGTGCCAGGGAATGTCAAATGAGGGCCTGGAGATCCGGGAAGCGCTGGCAAGCACCTGCACAGTAGGACCCAGGAGGAACCTCAGCCAGGGAGAAAGGACAGAGGTGAAAAGAGGCAAGGGCTGCCCAGGTGTGGGGCGGACTGGAAGAGAGGGTAAGGGGACAGGGAGGGAGGGAGCCAGCTCACTGCTCTCCACCCCCAACTCACACCCAGGCCTAACCCCTCCAAAGAAAGTCATCCCCTCTCATTGTCTGCCTAAGAATGTCAGGACTTTGTCTCCCGTATTGTTCGGGAGTTTTTTAATGGCTACTTAATAATAGCAGGAAGAACAATGCCTAACGATATTATTTTAGGCATTCTATTGTTGCTTCAGCTTACTGGGTCCCAAGAGCTCCAAATACCAAATGTTTTCATGAGTTTAAGGCTCCTGGCTTTTCTTGTGTTTTTTTCTCCCCCAAATTTCAGAAACAATCCTGACAGCAAGCATTGCGCAAGAGGCACTGTGATGGATTTGTTTCTTGCTGTCCTCTTCCCATGGTCTGAAAGGACTTGCTCTCAGAGCATCCCCCATGGGCCACATGTGGCTGTTACCAGTTCTGAGCCCGAGAAGCCAGCTGTCTGGGCCATCCCAGCCTTCCCAGTCTGCCAGCCACCGCGTTAATGAGTAATGTGTGGGGCTGTGAGCCCCCTCCTGTCCTTACCCAAGCCGGGGCAGGTTTTCTGGGTCAGTTCCTCAAGGCACGCACGCCTCGAGTCAGCCAGCCATGCTGTAGCCTCCTGGATCCCCCTCCCTGCCCAGTATCCATCACCTGGAAAACAGGCAGAAGCTGCCTGCTGGCCGGGCTCGGGGCTGGAGCTGGCAGTGCCTTCACTGGGACCATCCCACCCCCCAGCCCGGCAGCCATGGCCACCCAAACCGAATGGCCCCCCTGACGCTCAGACGGGCCACGCCCTCCCAGAGCTCCTGACCCCCAAAGCTATGTTAGCGGTCCAGGGCCCACGTTGACCTTGAACATGGCGTGGACAACACAACACATGTCTACTTTCTTGCCCAACACTTTTGACGGTGACCTTCCAGGAGCAGGATGGCATCATGCCCACTGCCGTGGCATGGTCAGCACTGGCCAGCAAAGGGCTCCATTCCCGCGTGTACAGTAGGAAGGAACTTGCAGGGACATGCTTCACCAAGGGAGACGTGAAATGTGGGACCCTGCAGGAGCCCAGTGTCACACACAGCACAGGGATGTGGGGGCCGGGGGGCTTCTCCACCCCTTCACCCCCCAGTGAGTGCATCTGCTGCTAGATGTTCTGTGCTGAGGGACACTTCCGGCTGAACACAGCCCTCGCTCTGGGCAGATTGAAGCCCCGGCCTGAGCCCAGGTCCGCCCGGCCCAGGAGTGGCTGGTTGGGGGAAAGACTGCAGCACGCGTGGGGTCAGTTCACAACTCTGTCCAGTCAGACTACAAAAGCGCTGTCCCACAGCTCTGCACAGACCAGCCTGGCTGGGGCAGGGCGGGGCCGGGGTGTGCAGGCAGGGCTCCGGCACTCCATTCCATGGCAGGGGGGAGGAGGGAGTGCTGGAGGGCACGGGAGGCTCATGACCATCACCCCTGCAATGTGCTTCCGCCTGGCTGAGCCCCACGCCCCACTCCTGCTTTTTTACTCTGGGTGTTTGGGCATGAGCTTATAGTCAGCGACTAGGAAAATCCACCCACCAGCAAACAAACAGTAGGACTACAGCACACATGGCCCATCATGGCAGCCCATTAAGAAAGTGCACCCCTAGGCTGGCCCTGCCTGGCTGCCCCAATGCAGCCAAGGTGGCAGTGCGGATCCAGAGGCCACACCCACCGGCTTCAGAGCTCCATTCGACACATTTGCAACCTCTCCTGGTTATAAAGTGTCTCATAAAGGATGTTGCAAGCACATCTGCCTGGCTGATGGGGGCTGCGCTGCTCTCCAGCGGCTGGTCCAGGAGGGCCATAACGTCCCTGGTAGGTGGCGGGGAGCATGCAGACATAGTCATAGGACAGACTTTCTCACACCCCCAACTTCTAATTAATCCTATAAAATCAAAGAGGTTCCCCCAAATGGAGATGGGGCTCCCACACACCAGCTTGCTTCAGACACTCAGGCAAAGCCAGTTGACGAGAATGTCCCTTAGAGATCATTAAGAGGAAGTTTAAAAAAAATCCCAAAGTCAACATTCAGGGGTTTGAATTTCAGGTAAGCACGGGAGCTTGCATACCTGAGTGGCTCAGGCTCCAAGGTCCTCCAAGTGTCTGAAAATCAGCCAGAGAACGCAGCGCCAACAGCCGCCTGCTGCCCTGCGTGGGGAGCTGTGGGGTGATTCCGAGCCACAGCCCTAACCGCCTCTTCCTGGGAGTGTGGCATCTTTGGGTGGCTATTTGTAGGCTGAAAGACAGTACTCCAATGCCCACTGTTTCAGAAGTCTTTTGGCCATGCTCACTGTTGGTCCCTGCAGCTTGGCAGGCCCCTGGACCAGAAGGGACCTAAGGGAAGCTCGTGGCTGATGGGCCTCTCCACACCTCACCAAAGAGGTAAACTCACAGCTCACAGTGTGGAGTGTGGGTGCCAAGTTGACTTTGGGGTGTCACAGGCTATACTTTAGGTGGGGTGCAGTAGAGGCAGGGAACAAGGTTCTTCCAGAAAAGTGAAGTTTATTTAATAGTAAGGGAGGGCAAGACTGAAAAAGAGACGCCGAAGCAGCTGCAGATGCACAGAGCGCGCCCCAGGCCACACCTTCAGGCCTCTGGGCTGCCTGACAGCCAGCGCTCCCGGAGCGGCCAGGCTGGGCCCAGGGCTGGGACGGCGCTGGACGCCTGCACACAGCTCCGCTGGCTCCTTTCTGGGCGAGCGCGCAGCCAGAGGAAATGAAAGCTGGGAAAACAAGCCGTGCGGGGAACAATGAGATGGAGTTTCACTTTGGGCTCACCCTCCGGTGTAAATGTAGTTGTACGTTATTTTTGTAATAAAGTAGTGGAGAGCAGCGAGAGAAGAGAGGGTAACTTTCTTTTCCTAGGTTTGTGAAGTCGGGCACCCCCCGCGACAGCCCACTGCTGCTCCCGAGCAGCGGCCAAGCCGTGAGAGAGTAAAACCCCAGCTGTTTCCAGGCAAGCGGCCCTGGGCCATGCAGCTTCAGCCACTAGTCTCCAAACACCGAGCAACACGCCCAAAGCCGTGCCTGGGCACATGTGCCTGGGGCTCGAGACAGCGCGGGGCGCACCCGGGCAGGTGGCGGCGCCGGGCGACACGGATCCCAAGTCCCGGCGGCTCCCGGCCGCTCTCACCCGGGCAGGGCCCGCAGTCGCACGCTCACTCTCCGGTACCCCGACCCCTAACAAAGGCGCCTCCGTAATGGATGCGCGGTCGCAGCCACACACCGCTGAGGGGAGGAGGGCGGACCGGCCCCAAGCGCAGCCGGCCGCGCCACGAGGGACCCGGAGAGGCGGGCGGCCGGGAGGGCGGGAGGCTCCCGGCGCGGACAAAGGGGCCTTCGCGGGACTCCCGGGGCGCAAGGCGGGACGCGGGCCGGCGAGGGACTCACCTTCGCGGCGGCCCGGCTGTGCTCTTCGTGCAGCAGCAGGGCGGCAGGCAGCAGCAGCAGCCAGAAGCCGAGCCGGAGCCCCATGGTGGCGCGGCCCGGGCGGCGGCGGCGACCGACGCGGGGCGGCTGGGGGCGGCGGGCGGGGGCGCGGGGGCTGCGGCGGGCGGCTCACTCTCGGAGGCCCGGGGCGTGAGCGTTGCGCACCGTCCCGGGCGCGGCGGCTCCGAGCGGAGACCTGAGCGCGGCCGCCGGAGCTCCCCAATTTGTTGGCGCTGCCCCCTCCCCTTGGCGGGGCGCGGGCGGCGTCTCAAAGGGGAGGACCCTGCGACGCGGGTAAGAGGCGGCGGGAGCGCGCAGCGCCGGGATTGCGGCCGCCGGGCGCCGGGACGCCAGGGCTCTGGCTCCGAGACCCCGCGCCCGAGCGCTCGCCCGCTCCGGACCCCCAGAGGCCCGGGGCCCAGTGAGGCCGGTCGCGCTGGCGGAGAGCTCTGAGCGGGCGCTCCTGGACCGGTCAGTGCGCGCGGGCAGCAGCCCCTGAAGCCCGGCCCGGAGGTGAGAGCGACCCCAGCGCCGCCCCGAGACCCAGGCCCGAGGGCGTGCAGACAAGGGGGGCGCCCGGCGCGAGCCTCTGTTGCGGAGTGGGTTGGGGGAGCACAGACGGAGAGGTCGGCAGGGAGCGCGGTGCCCGGGCCGAGCGGCGCCAGCCGGGCCTAAAGCCGAGGCGCCTTGCCTTCTGTCACGTCCGGAGCTGGATTCGGGCAGGCACCCCTGCGGGAAGCGGGGAACGCGCTGCGCCGTGCCCGCGTCTCGAGCGGATCGAAACCAGCGGCGAGGATGCTCTGCCGCCGTTCCCCTCGCTCAGCCCGCTTTGTCTCTCGTCCCTAGGCGCGGAGCGACCGAGCGGAGACGACCAACGGGGACCATGGGCCGAGAGCGGCTTGCGGCGCCGGGCCCTGCCCTACGGAGGTAAGTGGCCTTGCGCCCCACCGTGTCCTCCCGCCTCCCTGGCCCCCGCACGCGGTAACTTTCAGGAATGGACTAGCCCGGGCCCGCAGGCTCAGGCTGCTCTTTGCTCCTCTCCCACACAGGTGGCTGCTGCTGGGGACCGTGACCATGGGGCTGCTGTGGCAGAGTGCCTTGGCGGTAAGTGCTGGCGGCCAACCCCCGCGCCCCGCCGGTGCCCATTGGAGTGTGGGTGTGCGTCCGGGTGCGCCTGCCTTTGCCCCGGGCTAATAATTGAAAACCTGACCCAGAGAACACAGTTCGGGCACTGCGGGGAACACGGCACGGTTTGGGGAAGCAGGAAAGACTGGGCCGCCGCCTGGGGACTGGGACTGCTGTGGTGGACCCAGGGGGGGTTGATTTTGTGCAGTACGAGGCTCTGAGGAAATAGGCGGGGCGCAATGAAAAGGCTGCCCCTGTGGTTGGAATCAGCCTAAGAAAAACCTGGGCCTTCTCTCCCGGGGCCACAGGTGGCACTGCGGGTCTGGGACCGCAGGCGTGGAGGGCACTGCGGGGTCTCCCCAGGAGGAGCCGCGGCTCACACAGGACCGATGTGGCTGTCTCTCCTGGGGTTTCAACAGGACTCAAAACGCAGGGGTCCTCATTCCCCACCTGTGTCCGCATCAGCTGTCCCGCCAGGAGGCTGCGGCCCTGAGACCTGCCTGTGCAGGGGGCTGGGGGTGGGTTGTAAGCTGGTGTGTGGCCCCCACTGCTGTATCCCATTCTGCCCTGATGGAAGATGCAGGAGGCTCTTTCCTGAGGGGGGCAGGGGGGACTGGCTCTCCCATGCTGCTGCTTTCTGCGCATGTTCCAAGCCTGGAGAGTTTGGTCCCAGTGTGCTCCAGGCCAGTTTCCCTCCATCTCTTCCTCCCATCCCACCACGGTCCTGGTGTAAAACGTGGATGGTCAGTAAGCCAACGCCGTGGGGCTCCCCTTGTGCACACAGGGGGTAGTTGGGGGTAGGCAGGCCCCTGGAAGCTGCGCCCAGCAGTGGCGTCCCACCCCCATTCTCCCCGAGCTTTGTGTCTGAGCAGTGTGGGACCCAGGGATCATAGAGTGACCATGAAGTCTGTGACAAGGACTTCAGAACACCCAGGAGCTCATAACCCCATCTCCCAGTGTCAGTGCCACGGCACAGCCTCAATGCTCCCTCTAATCATTGGGTGGCCCAAGACCCAGAAGAGCTGCTCCAAGTCCAGACCTTGGTCCCAAGAGCTGGCTGCTTCGGAGTCGAGACCCTCTGGGGTGGAGCCCAGGTGCAGGAACCAAGGACCTAGGGCACTGGTGTGGTAGGCTCCTGAGCTCCCATTTCTTTCACTGGCTGACCTTCAGAATCCAAGGCCACAAGAACTGAAGCAAGCTGTTGTCAGGCTCTCGGTTGTTGTAGAGTCACAAACATGGCGTTCAGGATGAGGCTGATGTTTATTTGGTTCAACTGAGGTTGCTGAGTGCTGCCCTGGCTGTTACTCATGAACTAATTGCTTGATTGAGCCTTAACTAGCTTCATTAACAAGTCGCTCTGTGCTACCGCCCCTGCACGCTTGCCAGCTGCTAGGCTGCAACGAAGAGACCCATATCACGGCCCCTTTATCTCAGGGCCCTGCCTGGCATGGGAAGTTGCCGCTGGAGTCTGGAAGAGCTGGTTAGGTGGGGAGAGCAGCTGATGGTTTAAGGAGGCCAGTGTGTGCCCAATAATGCACTGAAGCCGCATCAGGAGGCACCTCAGGTCGGAGTGAGGCAAATGGCGTACGGAGCCTGGGCTGCAGTCTCTCCATGGCGAACACAGCATGTGGGAGGTGCCGACCGCTGGCCGCCAGGGAGGAGGCCCACATTTGGGTCTTTTCAGTCTCCTAGGGAATGGGCCTTTCTCCTTGGTTTGACCTTGGGTTAGCAGATTCCTGGAAAGGGGGTAGAGGGTGTCCTCTCTCTGCTGTGGATAAGGAGCACAGAGCAAAGGGGGTGGGGTGTCACAGTTTCCAGTGTCTGGGAGTTGGGGGGGAGGAAGCGGACCTCCACCTCTGCCCTGGCCTTGCAGGGCTCAGGACCCAGCAGGGACCCTGCGGGGGAGCGGGGGGTGCACTTCCAAGGTCCGCCTTGCAAGGCCATGTGGCCAGTTTCCATCCCAGACTCAGGCGGTCTGCCTGGGCCACCCCCTTTCCCTAGCTGAGCCGCCCTATCTCCCAGCAGGAGGAGCTTAGCTATTGTTAGGGCTGTGGGTGTTGCAGGCTACAACGCCAGGGGGTCCCCACTAGACCTGGGGTGGAGCACGGAGCCCCTCCTGACCCGAGTGGAGACTTGAAAGCACTCATTGCATGGCTTCCAGCTCTGTTGCTTATCTCGGGAGCTAGGCCGCAGGCTGGAAAAGCAAAGCGCCAGGCCTGTGTTCCCTGGACAGGAGAGGATTCCAGAGTACAAAGGCTCGTATGGCATCAGCCGTCAGCAGGCTGGGCCCCCACCTCATGGCCCAGCATGGAGACAGGCCTTGGCCCTGTGGGCTGCCGTGGGTGTCACTGTCGCTGCTGTTGCTCCAGCCCAGGAAGCTGACACCACGTAGAGAGCCAGCCCAAGGGCCTGCCAGCTGTCACTCCTGTCCCTTCTCTTCCAAAGTGGGCCTCTCTCCTCCTGGTGCTCCCTGCGACTCCACCGGCCACTAGGCCCAGTGATGCCCGCTCAGGCCCCAAGGAACGGGCATCTCCCCAGGTCCCCTATTGGTTCCCAGAAAACCAGCCCCTCTCCAGAGGCGACTTGGGGGATTGCGCCATCACGGGCCGTATCAGGGACCTGTGTCACTAGCAGCCAGAGCAGCTGCAGGTGGGTAGGGGGCCAGGAGGGAATGAGCATGTGTGTTCAGAACTAGAGCAAGAGAGCAAGCTGTGAAACTCCAGGAGAGAAGTCCAGAAGGAAAACAGCTCGTGCTGCAATAATAAAAATCAAAGGCGTGTCTGTCCCTGGGGAGAGGGAGAAAAATGAGGTGGCAGCTGAAATAGCAAAGAGGTTGCCAGCCAGAGTAGCCAGTGGGGGGTGGGGAGCCCCACTCTTTTCATCTGATCAGGGGTGTCCCTCTTTGCTCAGAGTTCTTAGCGGAGCTTTCACTGTCCGCTGTGGGGCAGTGACCCTGGAGGTAGAGGGTGACGTCTGGGCAGCTGGTGCGGCACGGAGCTGGTAAGCCTGGCCTTCCTGGAGGTGGTGTGGCCACCCAGGGCCAGCCCTTTGATCCTGGGTGAGATACTTTACAGGGTAAGACCTGGGACCTGGAGGGAAGCTGCAGGCGCTGTTATGTAGTCACAGGCGAGGGGCCACTACAGGTGACCAACATTTCCAGACAGGCTAGAATCAGAGACGCTAGGTCCCTCCCGCCCACCGCCCAGCACAGGCTGCTGCCGCCTGTAAGGGTGAGCCGTGATCTCAGCTTGTAGAGTTTGGGTGTCGGAAGTCATTTCCAGAAGAGATTTGGGCTGCTGAGATTGGAATGTCATTTTGAAGATTGTTTGAAAAGCAGAGTTAAAGATCTTCCTTCTGCTGGTTCATTCCCCAAATGGCTACAACAGCCAAGCCAGGGCCAGGCCCAGACCAGGAGCCAGGAACTTCCTCCAGGTCTCCCAAGTAGGTGCAAGGGCCATCTTCTCTCTTTCCCCTGAGGCACATTAACAGGGAGTTGGGTCAAAAGTGGAACAGCCAGGACTAAATCTGAGATACTGGCATGTCAGGTGGCTGGGGTGTCTGTTTGGGTGGTTTGTATCTGATCTTAGGAAGACCACGTGGTCCTGCAGGTCCCATTGGTGGGGTCAGAGCACAGGGTAGACACGGCTTCGACAGCAAGCTCTGAGCCACTGTCAGGGGCCTGGCATCCGGCAGGTCCTGCAGCTGTAGAATCTGGCATCCCTGCCTGTGGATTCCCGTCTTTCAGAGTAACAGGCTGTTTTGGAAAGATCCTCTGAGGTTGGCATGGCCTCCCAGAAGATGATACTGCTCTGGTGAGAAGTGGGCAAAGTGCCAGGGCAGTCTGCTGTCCGCTGGACTGCTAGCTTCCAGTCCATGTGATTTTGTGGTTGGGACAGGTATGTCCAGAGATATAAGATCTTAAGGTACCAGCGTGAGGTCTGGGCAGACGAGATCCTGGGACTCTCGGCATCATCTTTAAAGTGGTTTCTGAGAGTCGGCTCCCCGGAAGTGGAGGCACCCACGTGTGGCTTGCAGGAGTCGGAGGGATGAGTGTGTGAGAAGGCTGGGCAAGCAACAGCCTTGTGCTGTGGTGCAGCAGATGTGGCCAGCAGGGGCACAGTAACACTTCTGCTCTTTTCGCGAATGAACCAAGTCAAAAGAAGTTTCTCTGTGTACTTGGAAATAGCGGGGGAGGGGGAGGGGGCAGGCCTGAGGGAGGGAGTGTGGCCTGGCCTGGGAGGGGGCATTGCCCTGCAAATGAAGCCCCAGTGTCCCTGAACAGTGGGGGGTGGCATTTTCTTGGCCCCTGTTGCAGGGAGATGTCCCTGGGTCAATGCCCTTGGCCAGTGACCTTGTGGGAGCTGGAAAGCTAAGAGCCGGCAGTGCCTGGTGGGGGCAAGTGGCCGGACCGGGGGCCAGGACTTTTACCGTCACAGTTAGGTTGGGCTGCTCCCCAGGGCTCTGAGAGGGGATGGCCATCTCCCTGGTTCCTGAGCTTGCAGTGGGGCGGAGCCTCAAGGGGACAGGGCGGGCTGCAGCCCTTGGGGCTTCCCAGGGCCCTTGACTTCCTGTACCACTAAGAGTGCAGCTCTCTGCCAGCCCCCTGCCAGCCCCCATCCAAGGATGAGGGGTGGGCAAGTGACATGGTGGTCAAGGCCAAGTACACCGCAGTACTGGCCGTCTGGTGGGCTTGCAAGCCAGCCGTGTCCCAGGAGCCCTAGCCTCTGCATCCGGGCCAGGAGTGGGGACATCCTGCGGCCTGTCTCCACCCTGCCCTTGATAACCAGTGTCTGCTGGCCCTCCCCTATCAGCGCCCTGGGTTGGAGGTCAGGACGCCTGCGGGAGCTTGTGCTTTGGAACAGAAACCTTGAAGGGTCTCCTTCAAGTGCCCACCCTCGCTCTCTTGTTAGAGAGGAGAGGCCGACATCTTGGCTCGGCGCTCCTGCCCTGTGTCCCACTGTGGGTTTCCCGTTTCCAAC